TAATGCCCCTGTTTTAAAATTCCCTGAGGGGGACGAAAACCTGGAAATTGCGGCAGATGAGTCAGACTATGCGGTGGGTGCGGTTCTTATGCAAAATAACCATCCGCTGGCATTTTTTAGTAAAACATTGAATCAAACACAAAGGAATTATACAGCTACAGAAAGAGAAACATTAGCCGTATTAATGGCTGTACACAAATTTCGAGTTTATTTCGGCAAATCGCCAGTAACAGTCTTTTCGGATCATGCGGCTGTTGGTAGACTTTACTCGGGAAAAAACCTAACGCCCAGGTTAATAAGATGGGCTTTAAAACTCCAAGAATATAATATCACAATAAAATATAAACCGGGTAAGGAAAACAATGTATCTGACGCACTTTCTCGTATAAAACTGGACAATGAAGGTAATGAACTTAGATGCGCTGTGTTGACTTCAAAAATTTTAGATTCTAGAGATACGGTTATTACTGAACTGAAAGCTGATCCTGAATTTGGAAATATCTATGCTTATTTGAAAGACCCCGAAAGCTTTGAGCATACAGATATCGATGCGATAAGAAATAGAGCAAAAAACTATGAAATAATAGATAATTTATTATTCTATACGAAAACAACAAACGAAAATCTTGAGTATAAGCCAGTCATCCCAGCCTCGCTTCGATTAAGCATTTTGAAGGAGTTGCACGAAAAAAAAAACAGCGGGCCACCTCGGGGGTCAGAAAGACTATAAAAAGGGTACGCGAGGCGGTATATTTCCCGCAATTATACAAAATAGTAACGGCGTATGTCAGGTCCTGCAATCAATGTCAGTTAATAAAGGATATTAATTACAGCCCGGCCGGGTACTTAAATAGCATTCGCGCTACATTTCCGAATGAAATTTTAGGCATAGATCTCCTTGGTCCCTTCCCCCAGAGCGAGTTAAATAAAAATCGTTTTCTTTTAGTAATAGTAGATCATTTTTCAAAATGGATAGAAATTGTTCCACTTAAACGCGCGTCAGCCAAAACAGTCGCAGTCGCAGATGCATTCTTACACAGATACATTTTAAAATACGGTGCACCGATAAAAGTCATTAGCGATAACGGAAAACAATTCATTAGTCAAATATTTGAAAACATATGCAATGGACTTGGCATACGCCATATCAAAATGGTTCCGTATAGACCACAGGCTAACATAGCAGAAGGAGTTAATAAAAACATTGTAAAAATAATTCGCAGTTACGTTAGCACACATCACAAGCGCTGGGATGGCTACATAAATGAATTAGCTTATGCTTTAAGAACGGCACATCATGATACTACGGGAAAAACTCCAGCAGAATTATTTTTAGGCAGAAAGTTAATTACGCCTTTAGATAAATTATTCTTTGTGCAACAAAGAGAGCAGGAATTTAAACAACAAGACGTGCAAAAGTTGATTGATCAGGCGCTTAAAACCTCGGATACGGCAAGAAATAGACAGAAGTTATATTATGATAGAAAACGCCGTGAAGCAGATTTTAAAGTTGGGGATAAAGTATTGAAACGGAAATTTTCTTTATCAAGTGCCCCAGACAATTTTATGGCAAAGCTAGCTCCAAAGTTTGAAGGCCCCTATGTAATTCAGGAAATCAAAGGAGTAGTCTTATATCTTAAAAACGAGAGAGGGGAAATCTGTAAAGCAAGTCCCGACCAGGTGAAAAAATACTATAATCTAAATGATTTTGAAATCCTTAAAAGTTTCTTGCAGGACTCAAGTCTAAACGAAATAGAAGGCCAGCCAGAGACTGCAACAACTATTCCACCACCCAAGAAAGAAACAAAGAACTGAAGAGAGACCTAGCACTTCTACAACCCGGACGTCGGTATCAAAAAGAAAAAATGAATTTTCAAACTCCGGCGTTTAAGAAGAAAAACAAAATACAGATGAATCGGGTAAAGAAACCGTAGTAAAGAGACGAAAACACCACCTACAAAAGATGGCAGGAGAAATTACACATCAAGGAGAACGCGCACACGGCCACAGAGTCAGGTGCCAGCAAGGCCGCCGTTCCGGAAACTGAAACGCCAACAGGAGGCACAGAAGTACGAGGAACAGAAGAAATTCAAGAAGGACTCCAGACCGGAGGACGTCAAGACCAGCCGTCCCAGGCAGAAACGCAAAGGCCAACAACCAGACGATTACTCCGTCAAGAGGCCAGCATGTAGAGGACGCAAAAGAAAGAGCAACGGGGACGACACTCGGAGATCAATAAGGAGAAGATTGACATCCATGAAACCTCTAACTTGGGATCAATTTTGCCAAAAACGGATGACGGAATTTCAAGCATCGAAAACTCAAAGATAAGTTAAAACCTTCTATAAATTTTTCTTTCTGTTTGGTTCCGAAATGTTATGCATAAGTACGAAGTTCTATGTTTTGACGAAAGTCAATATGTCTCGGTTGAGACTTAGTTTTGTTTTACTTTATTTAGCTAAGGCAAAAGTATTATTTTATTTAAGTGTAAAAGCTAAAAACAAGCATTTTCTGTTGGTCGAAAGAATAATTCTGTTATGTTAAAGCCAAAATTTGGCCGGAGATAAAAATAACTTCGTATTCTTGTACTAATAAGAATTTTAGTTTCAGTACCGCCAGCTTGGCGAAGAATGAGTAAAGTAAAAATTTATTTTCTCTTATTCATTTTATGGTAAATTGTAAAAAGCATATGTATAAAATTTTGTAAATGTATGTAAATACTTGCATGTTATGTAAAAGTAGAATTTAGTCTAGAAGCATAAAATTGTAGATGCTAAAAGTGAATGCTTAAAAGCAATGAAGTCAAAATTTAAGTATTAAACTGTAAAGTCATGCTTTAGAGCGAAAGCCTGCATGTTTAAAGATGAATGAGGGGGAAGTTAGAATGAATGTGTTTTGTAGGGTTCTCCACCTACATTTGAATTTTTAAGAATATTAAAGTAGCTCATTGAGTTGTAGAATGTCGAGTAAGGTGTGTCTATTTGGTTGTTGAATTCTAACAAATCATGGTGGTTAGGGGAAGTGTTGTAAAACTAAAATACGAATATTCCCGTTTGACACCACACATGGTGGAGAGCCAGGGTAAAGTTAAATTAATGCTTGAAAAATTGAATGAATGTGAAGTAAGCAATAACTAAGAAAAACGAAACGTTTAAAAACAAAAAAAATTTATTGTGTCAAGAAGTGTAAATTATAATGTATGTAGAAAGATACTGATACTTATTCCTTCCAGATGCTGGAAGGAAAGACCAAGATTGATTGATGAAGTCCAGGAAAAGTTGCTGTAAGAAGAAGAAGCTTTGTAACGACTAACAGAATTTTAATATATAATTGTTACATAAGATTTTTTTTGTGTAAACGAGGCTTTCGCCAGTTAGTTCAGAATTAGAGAAACTTACAACAGGTCGTTTGTAGGACCTGCTTCCAAGTTTTCCAAATTCTGGCAGCGGCAAATGTAGGGTTTATATTTATTTTAACTAACATTTATTTTAAGTTTAAACTATCTTTCCTGTCAAGCCTTACTTTCCCCTGGAACTGCCAATGTCAGAATATGTAAATTTGAGTAGAACGCGCAAGGATTCAAATTATCAGCGGAAGTATTATGATTTAAATAGAAGGAAACGAGTTCGGTGAGAGTTATTCTTACTTAGCGAGCGCGGAGGTAGTTATCGAGAATTGAAGAACCCCGCGTTGCGGCCTATGTGCTTGGCGGGAATTAGTGGAAATTGTTCCAGTGAGCTTCAAGTCTGCTGAATTAGCAGCCGTATTGTAAAACGCGGTGAGTTAGTTATTTTAGAGAGCCTCGTAGTTAGAATCTTGTCTTTACTTTCTTTTCAGGTTATTATTTTTATTTTGACTGCCTAGTGGGCACAGTCTGTAAGCGTCAAGAGGACGCCATTGTAATTTATTACGTTGAATAAAAAGGGACTTGAACCCTTTATAAGACTCTGTGGTTTATACAAGCTTTCACAGTCACCTCTTGGTTGCGTGCAAGTTAGAGGCGCGCAACGTTATAAACTATTTCATTTTCTGTTATAACTCTGTCGCTGCGTATCCCGCGATTTCTACGGGCAACGTAGAAGTAGCAAAATTTGCGCAACCCGCGGGGATGAATTTCCGCCGTCTGTTTGACTGTGCAACCCGCTCTTTCCTAGTTCAAGGTTTCATTTCAGCTTTTCTGTGATTTTTAATTATTTATTCAGATGTGGGCTAACAGATGGCGTTAATTGCCCACATTTCTGGAAAATATACAAGAATACGTAATATAGCATTTTGCGCGCTCTTTTCAGAGCTCAAAGATGTCTGGAAGGAAGCATTTCCCGAGTGATATGACCTATATTTCTGAAGATATTTCCGGCACTGATAGTAGTTTTGACTCTGATTTCAAGTGTATTGAAGATAGTTATAGCAAAACTGATGAGAATCTCTCGGATTCCTCTGTAGATAGTGATGAATCTGAAAATCCAGTTTCTATTGAAAACGTTCGACAGTGGTGCAAAGTTTATATGCAAAATATTACATTATGCAAATATTTTCATTAGTACATAGGTTTTACCTTTGTATTTTATAAAATCTATCATAATTTAACCAATATTAATTTTTAAAATTTTCCTTTTATATTATTCAACTTCAACTTCAGTATTCTAACAATCTTTTTCTGTGATCTAATTCTATATTGGGAAAAAAAAAAAAAAAAAAAAAAAAAAAAAAAAAAACCCTCTTTTAAAAATTTTTTTTCTATATTTTAACTGTACAATATATGTAGATTTGAAATATGTAATAAAAATTCCGCAATTTTTTAACCTATTTTGATAAAAGAAAAGTACGCAGTGAGAGGGATAATACCTAAATTTATGTGGATAATACTAAATGTAAATCAGTGACATTCAGACATCTGAAGTCAAACTGAGATTTTAATGCAGAATCATTTAAAATTATTTCGTAAGGAGCAATACAAATAAAAATTGTAATATAATCGTTTGAAACAGAAGTGATAGTACCTTTCGTCTTAGAATGCATTTTTAATTCTCGGTCGCATTCCGTTTCAGATACTTCTGGGCCTTCTTCGTCTTCCTCTTGAGTTAACACACGCAGAGGATCGAATTCATTTTCATCTTCTGAACAGTCCAAAATGCTGGAAAACAAATAATAATTAAACAGGTCTGTCGAAAAGGATTATACCTTGCATTATCTATCTATATATATATATAGGAAAAGCCTGTCTATCTGTGTGTATATGTCTTTCGTTCGTGCTGCGCGTAAGCTAATAGACCCAGAGCTGCAACATTTGGTATACACTGAAGTGACAAAAGTCATGGGATACCTCCTAATATTTTATCGGTCCTCCTTTTGCCCGACGAATTGCAGCAATTCGACGTTGCATGGACTCAACAAGTCGTTGGAAGTCCCCTGCAGGAATATTGAGGCATGCTGCCTCTATAGACGTCCATAATTGTGAAAGTGTTGACGGTGCAGGGTTTTGGGCACGAACTGACCTCTCGATGATGTCCCATAAATGTTCGATGGGATTCATGTCGGGCGATCTAGGTGGCCAGATCATTCGCTGGAATTGTCCAGAATGTTCTTCTAACCAATCGCGAACAATTGTGGCCCGGTGACATGGCGCATTGTCATCCATAAAAATCCCATCGTTGTTTGAGTACGTGAAGTCCATGAATGGCTGTAAGTGATCTCCAAGTAGCTGAAGGTATCCATTTCCAGTCAATGATCGGTTCAGTTGCACCAGAGGACCGAGTGCCATGTAAAAACAGCCCAGACCATTATGGAACCACCACCAGCTTGAACAGTGCCTTGTTGACAACTTGGTTCCATGGCTTCGTGGGGTCTGCCCCACATTCGAACCCTACCATTACCAACTGAAATCGTGACTCTGACCAAGCCACGGTTTTCCATTCGTTTAGGGACCAACCGATATGCTCACGAGCCCACGAGAGTCGCTGCAGGCGATGTCGTGCTGTCAGTAAAGGCACTCGAGTCGGTCTTCTGCTGGCATAGCCCAAGGAAGACAAATTTCGCCGCACTGTCCTATCGGACACGTCCCTCGTACGTCCCACATTGATTTCTGCGGTTATTTGACGCAGTGTTGCTTGTCTGTGAACATTGACAACTCTACGCAGACGTCGCTGGTCTCGGTCGTTAAGTGCAGGTGGTCGGCCACTGCGCTGTCCATGGTGGTGGGATGTTATGCCTGAAATTAGATACTCTCGGCACACTCTTGACACTGTGGATCTCGGAATGTTGAATTCCCTAACGATATCCGAAATGGAATGACCCATGCGTCTAGCTCCAACTACCATTAAGCATTAAGTCTGTTAATTCTCGTCGTGCGGATATAATCACGTCAAAGCCTCTTCACATGAATAACTTGAACACAAATGGAAGCCCTGCCAAAGCACTTCGCATTTATACATTCTACGCGATACTACTGCCATCTGTATATTTGCATATTGCTATCCCATGACTTTTGTCACTTCAGTGTGTAGGGGTGCATCTAGACAAGAGCCAATGCACCTGAAAGCGATTTTTTTTCTAAATTCGAATGATATATTTTTTATATTTAATGTTCTTTGATGAAATCGCATCAAATCGATAATTCTCTCTCATTATATCAGCATGCTGATATCAGCACTGTTGCCACTCGGAACAATGAGGGCGATAATTCTGAGCACTTTTTAACTTTAATGTTTCTCTTGGATACTGGACGTTTGTCGAGAAAATGCAACGGGAAGTTGGCTAATTTGTAGTATTTATTAGGATGATTAATATTTGTATTAAGGGTTATTGGTTGTTTTATCGTAATTAGAAATTTTTCTGGTACATTTAAAAGTCACACAAAGGATGTAGCTAGTAGCGTAGCGTATAAAACCATAATCGAAATCAAATATCAGTCCAAGAAAAATAATAGAAGCCCAATACATCATGTAGAAACTATGAGAAATCAATAGCCCAAAACAGCATGGTTGACGCTTGAGAAAAAGGTCTTTACCATCTTAGTTCAGAGTTCTATCTGTTTATAGAGAATAGCAAAGTGTTGATTTTTGGAGTTGCTGCAAGGCACGCATATTACTGGCTTAGACGGCATGTTGCAATTATGCAAGAAATTCTGGAGTAGCTAGCGTAACTTTACGTCACATACCACATATTTCATGCAGTTAATAAGGTAAATGTTCAAGTAACGAATCGAAGACGAACTACATTTGTTAAGAGCTTTAGCCATCTGGCCTTAGGTGGCCAGGGACTGAGAAGGGAAATAAAGGAAGAGCATAACATACATGCAAACATGGGGGTTTCAGCGGATATATTGAGGAAGACTTTTAATTACTGCTTATAAGAATGTTTAAAAAAATGTTTCATGGGTGATTTTACATACTCTCTCGTGTTTGCTTTCGACAAGGTGAAATCACAAAAAAACCACGCAATATAACTTTTCTACAGTTAATGATTGGAGCTCGTACAAACTGTCAATATTCAACCGAACTTTATCAGTTTTATAGATCTTATTCAGTGGACATAATGTGTTTATGAAGTATATTTTCAGATTCAAATTAACAGTGCAAATGAAAAATGCTTTCATATTTGATTGTATTTCTTGATATTGTTAATTTATAAGCTGCATAGAATATTTCTATGTAATACAGAACAAATAATAATAATAATAATAAAATCTCAAATATTTCAGATTAACAGTGGGAATGAAAAAGGCTTTAGTATTTTAATGTATTTCTTACTATTGTTAATTTATAAGCTGCGTAGAATATTTCTATGCAATACAGAATAAAAAAAAATAATAATATAATCTGAAATATTTCAAATTTTATATTAAATAGGCTTTTTCTTAATGGCTATTCTTGTGTCACCTCTGTTTATTAAATATCATGTTCTTTGCTCCTAAACCATAACATTCAATTCAACAATAATATCATAAAATAATTTAAAAGGAACATATCTTAGAATTTCCGATACACAGCCTCGCGCGCTGAAGATAAAACTGTTTTCTCTTTCCATACTGTATTGCAATTGCTGGCTTTGAAATCGTTGAGTTTCTTAAGCAAAAACTCATAAATGCTTTATAAAATATGAAATAGATAATAAAACAAATTCCGAATTTGGGCTTCCAGTTGCCCATATTCGGGTGGATACGTACGTTATTCAAAATTTGATGGCTGTAGGTGCCGCATTTTATCACAATGTAGACAATATATACATTTGTGCAGATTCTTCATTATTTAATTTATTTAATTGCAATACAGGGCAATAATATTTGGTGGCATCAATCTGAAAAGTGAAACGGCGTTTATAGTGAAACGCCACAAAATCGCAAAAAGAAATTAATAGCCCTTATAGGCTAACACCCTTTGGGCTAAAAATTTACGAGTATAATTTGAAGTATTTGTACTGGGAAGTAGCATTGATAAATCTTATACTGAACATTGCCTATAGGACTTGAAATTTTAAACTCGCCTTGTACAATTTTCTGCTCTCCGTTTGCAAGAGTAGTATCGCTTCTATAACCGACTAGAATCCATTTTATTAAGTGACTTACTTGCAACGCGAAAGTTGAATGCTCCTTTATCTAACCTCCAAATGTGTATCTTCACTACATAAGCATGTTCATTTAAATGCTTAGCCTCTCTCAGAATACTTGAACTCGAAATGGCGTGTGTCGTCGAGCGGGTTTTATGGTAATGGGTAAAAGAATTTTCCTCTCAGAAACATGATTAATTACATTCTCTATTGTAAAGTTTTCAAATCCGTGCATGGTGCAAAAGGATTTCACTCTTTTGAAACGTAAGCTTCATTTTAAAAGATATTTTGGAGTGAAATTATTTTTAGATATGAATGTAGAATTCTGACTTTCTCTAAATGGAACTTCTTTATCTGCGTAACTTCTGCTTTTTAAAAAATATATACGCGTTTTTCGTTATTAAGAAAGGGTACATACACAAATGCTTAATACTGTTGTCACTTGGATATGAAAGGGTAGTAATGTTTTCTTACAAATGCGCGGTATGAATTATTTCAAAAATATGAATAATAAATGGTAAAAGTGAAAATTTTCTTATATAATCATCAAATCTATTAAGAATTTAACTATATTTTAGAACAAAAAATGGAAGAGTTTGTGAGGATTTATACAATTTACTTTACAGTTACACTTATTTTATTTTCAAGCGACTTTCCTGTCGCTCTTGCTTTCAACTCACACGTTCTTGCCAAAATGCAAATCATCTAGCGCACCTATATTCAAATAAGGAAGAAATAATTTAGTAGTTAAGGGAAGGTTTTGGTAGGTAAAAACAGAGCGTGTTCTGCCTATCTAAAGCCACGTTACTATCTTAATTTTCTAGCTATTAGATTTCTGTGGTATTGAGAAATTCTTGCCAGAGGGATGTTACGCCGACTTTTTCGAATCAGAACCAGCTTGCGTGATAGTCAGACTGTGAAGAACTTTGGTCTTCACAAGTTAACTATCAACTAACTATCAACTACTATCAACTAACTACGTTCAATTTTATGTTATTCTTTTAAGTTTAGTTAGTTTTAGTTAGTTTTTAGTTAGTTTTTAGTTAGTTTTTAGTTAGTTTAGTTAAGTTAGTTTTAAGTTTTGTTAACTATCAACTTCATTTAATTTTAAGTTATTTATTGCCTTATAAGATAATCCTTTGTAAGCACAAACCAACACTGTTAGCAATTCACTCGTGTCTTCATTGAATTTTATTTGAGGCAATTAAGAGTTGTTCACGCTTTTTTCCTGACTTTGTCGTACTTTAACACTTAGAGATTATTCTTTAAACGTCGCCTTCTAACGTCGAGCTCAGTATATGATAGCCAAACATACAGATCATACCTTTACTTACTATGCAATACACAATCAGAATGTGTATAATTTTACTTGTTACTTACATTTATTTCATAAATAATTATTTGAGATTAATTGGCATCTTAAAATTAAAAAAAAAAAAACAAATGCAGTTACGAGTTTATTAGTCCAAAGGGGCTCTGTCTTTGTAGGACTATTATTTCCGTTTTGCGATTTTGAGTTGAATCACTATCAATGTCCGTTTCACTTTTCGAACTGTTGCCCCCACATTTTAGAGTCTTGCATTATATTTG